GCCTAGCGGCGGCCGGGCCGAAATGCAGCGGGAGTCGCTTGGGGACCGGGGGACACCCCGATCCCGACCCGTCCCCGTCCCACCCCCCCCGCAACCCCCGGGCCGGGGAGTTTCCCCCTGGGGGCAGCGTGGCCGGAGGCCTCCATGGTCGACACCGCCTGGTCCCCTCCGTCCCCATGGACTGACCCATCGCCACCCCGCCTCTGGGGCCAGGCAGCCCCTGAGGGGGGGCTGGGGGGGCTCAGGGTCCCCCCAGGCTGCCCCTGGGCACCTCTGGCCCTCGTCAGCCCCGGTGGTGGGTTTGGAGCAGCCTCCTGAGGGGAGCCCTCCATGGCTGGGCCTTCTGTCTCCTCCCCAGCCCCTCAGCATCCCCGGCTCCTGCATTTCGGACTTCGGAGGGACAGGGTGAGGAAGAGGAGGCATCGCTCCTGCCCCAAGGGCTTGAAGAGGAGAGACACGGATTATAACAAAGCATCAGTTTGACCAGAGAGAGAAAGCAGCCCTCCCCGGTACCCAGCTGACAGCTTGCATGCAGCCGTACCACGGAACAGCTCAGGACGGGAAGTGATCTCCTCTTACAAATTACAGGGGCCAATTTACACAGGGCAAACACTTCCCGTTTTGCAGAGACCGGAGCGATCGGCAGCGGGTCAGGGCCCCCGTGTCCCTCGTAGCTCTCTCGTAGCTGCAGGAGAACACCCGCACCCCCAGCACGCCTTTGGGGTGGTCCCGGGCTCTCACAGGACGGCCCTGGGCGTTGAGGTTTTTTCCCCCAACTCAGTGGTTTCCTCCGTGTCTGGCAGCTAAACCATCCTCAGCCCGGGTAAGGATCTGCACGGCTTTGACAAGGAACGCAGGCGTCAGTAAGAGGGAAAACACTGGAGGCAAACCTTCAGCTTTCAGCACGTACAAGTGCCACAACATTTGTTTTCCCAAAGTTAAACGCGGATCAGCGTCTCTTCTGTGACACGACGCCGTGAGCTCTGCTGACTGCAGTCGCTTTTCCTGATCCGGGCTTGTTTCGGGGGCGAAACGGGTGATTTTATCACATTTCTTTACTGTCCTTTGATATGGGTCTAAGCTGCTAACGAGGCTGGGAAGCAAAAAGAAATGGGAATAGAAATACACAGCTATGAAGAATTCGAAGTAGTGAATTTAATTCAGCCAGTTCCAACTAAATTGGTAATTCCCTGCAAAACAAACCGTGCACAGAAAACACAGAACACAGAATGTTTTTGCCTTGACAGCTGGTGAGAACAACTATGGGAAGAGGTGAATGGAGTATTTCTGCCTTCTCTGAAAAACGAAAAGCTGCTGTACATTCTGAAAACGCCCCTTGGTTGTTTTTTTTTTTACTAAATGGGTTGATTTGGGAGGCAGCTATCGGGAAGGCTTTGCTGGAAAAGCAGAGGTCTGTGCTGTCACCAGCAGCAATTGCAGGTGCCCATGTTGAAGTGTTTTACAAATGCCTCATTTTTCATAAAGCGTTTATGCTTCCTTAAAGAAAAAACAAACAAACCCAGAGCTTTAAAAAAATGCCTAAAATTAGCCCAGAAACCTGAAGAACCGAAAAATTCTTATTTTTAAAAAATCCTAAACCTGGTTTTCCTGGCGGTCATTACTTGGGCTGCAAGGTGAAGGCTTTGGCCAGCCCGCGGGGAGGGAGCAGCCCGGCTGCCTTTCTCTTAGCACTTAAATACTTTTTCCAAACCAATACCAAAAAAGGGTTGTTTCTAGGTCAGGACCTCAGTACTAAATTTTAACCAGGGGCCGAGAGTCGGATCTGAGCACAGCTGTAGAATGGATTGGCCAGAGAAGCTGGGGCATTCTTTTTCTAATTAGAAAACAGCCATGGAGCCTTGCGCGTTTAAAGGTGAAAGCTATTTTTGACATAAAAATCAGCACATAGTTCCTCTGTCATCCTTCAGTTGCTGCTCTGGAAGCTGCGAGCAACCGATCCAAAGAGGAGCAAGAAATATAAACACACTGAATTAAATAAATAGGTAGAAGGGGATCAAGTTTTAAGTTTTATTCTGCCCGACAATTAGGAGAGGAAGAGATTTATTTTTATGCTATTTATCCTAAAAAGCACCGTTAAAAAGGTCCACTTAAGCACCGAGACAGACCTCAAAGGCATTTAAAAACTTGAAGTGCTTTTAATAGCTGCCTTTTGAAAATACTGTTAAATCTATTTTTGAGATGGATAAACTGAGCCACCAATAGAGCGAGGCAGGAGTTTTCAGAAGGACCCAGCAGCGAGAAACTTCTCAACAACTCGGCTCCCTAAAATAAAAAAAATAAATCAGAGCACGGGATGCTTTTTAAAGCCCAAGCCTTCTTTAAATCCAAATTTTTCCTTCCTTCCTTCTTTCTTCGGGGAATCTAACCCTGACAGCCTCGAAAATTAACCCCTGGCAGTTTGCAAAATATGGCTCCGAGCGTCTGTTTCTAAAATAAAAGTGAGGGAAGAGTGAGCAGAACTCGGAGAGCTTATGGCCACCAGCAAAGCCACCCACTAATCCCTCGGCAGCCCCGGCCCCTTTACGTAACCCGGGATTGCTGCAGCTCAAACAGCTTATTGGGGTTTGGGTGCTTTTCTTTAAACCTCTCGTGGACGAATGCAAACACATTCAGTACTTTTTTTCTCTTCCTACTCTAAAGAAAAAGTAAAAGGTGGGGGGATATTTTATTTGTGAACAATGGCACACAGAATTGAACTCGTATGCTGAGAATAACGCGTGATTTTCTCTCTTATCCGGGATTTTGACTGAACAGAAATCTCCCCAATTTGTAACACTTGGCTGTAACCCTCCAATGGTAAGATATAGGTTGAATCCCAAATTTCTCCTCACCCCGAACATCCTCTGGAAGTGGCGGGGTGTTCCAAATAAAAGAAAAAACTAAAACTGGCCAAGGTGAAGCGTCTCTGGTTCCCTGGCAGCGTGGCTGGCTCTGCTGAAGGACTCACTGCCCCGGATGAGTTTTCCTGCCATTGATCTGTCCTGACTTTCCCCCAGCACAAATCTTTTCCAGGGCAAAAACTCAACTTTTTAACAACTTTCAGTCGGTGTTTAGCCACGAACCTAACGCTGAAAGCTTTGTGGAAAGTTAAGGAGTAAAAAAAAAAAAAAGAAAATAACCCCCTTATTGAACCCCTCGCAGTTGGCGCCCTGAATGTGGGCTGGATGTAAAACCCCCTCAAACCGAGGGCAGCAACAGCCTTCCCTGGATGCTGGACTGGATCCAGCTTAAAAGTTTCCACCAAATAAACTGGGCTAAGCGCATCAGCTGCATAGAAACTAACTGGGTGGAACAGGAGCATCTGTTCTTCGCGTCCACCCTTTTCTTAGAGCCTTAACGTGCCCGTGCCGCGGGGACACGCGTCGCTGGGCGAATCCCTCCTCGCTGCTGAGCTTTGCCCCCCTCCCCCCCCCCCCGTGCCACCGAGGAACGAGGCACCGCGCGTGGCAGGAACTACTCCACCGGGTAGTTTTTTCGTTTGTCGAAAAAAAAAAAATAAATAAAGATAAACCAAACCAAAAACCAGCTTAATGTATTTCATATGATGGCATTACAAAGCGAAATTAATGTCTGTATGGAGACAGCGGAGGAGCACACCTCGGAACCATTTATACACAGTACAAAGCAAATGTTTACCCAAGTACAAATGAAACAGGTTGACAATTAGCTAATGTAGCTTTTGTGGACA